TATTTAAAAAATACTTTTCATAAATAAAAAATGGAAATTATAGATTTATCATGGAATGTAAATAAAAGTAAACGCCATAATAATGAGTTATTACCTAAAAGTATAAGAGGTATTATTGTTGGAAAATCAGGTTGTGGAAAGACAACATTATTATTAAACTTGCTCTTAAGACCTGGTTGGTTAGACTATAATAATTTACAAGTTTTTGGAAAGTCACTTTTTCAACCTGAATACAAAATATTAAAAAATTCTTTTGAAAATAAATTACCAAAAGAAGTTATTCTTAAACTATTTGAGTTGCAAGATCAAATAAATAAAAACAATGTAAGTCCAGAGTTTATTATTAAAAACATTTCAAGAGATTTAAAAGATAAAACAGATATAGAGTGTCAATTTTTTGAAACAGCAGAGGATGTTCCAGAACCTGAAAGTCTTAACTCTATTAAAATAATTTAATGATATTTGATGATTTACAATTAACAAAACAAAACAAGTGTGAAAAAGTACTATATAAGAGGAAGACATAGCAATGTAGATTGTTTCTACTTGGCACAAAATTATTTTGAGTTGCCTAGGAGAACGATAAGAGAAAATGCAAATTTTATATGCTTGTTTAAACAAGATTCTAAAAATGTAAATCATATTTATAATGACCATGTTTCAAATGATATGAAATTAGATGAGTTTAAAAAGTTTTGTAATGAAGCTTGGTCAAAAAAGCATGGATTTGTTGTTATAGATTTGTCTTCTGATTTATTAAATGGAAAGTATAGAAGTGGATTAGATTTATTTTATTATCCAACTTCATTGTGGAATCGATAAATATATATTTTTTAAAAAATATATATTATAAGATAGCATGGGTCACTTCGTGACCTAAAGAAGAAGACCTAATAATGGTTTATTCTTAAATGGAGAATTTTCTCCTAATAACAAACCTCTACCTACTGATGAATATTCATTTCCATTTTTAGAATAATATCCATCTAAATAATTATAACTACCATTCCATGAGTTTAAAAATACTCCTTTTCCTACTTTTCTAATTTTAAATCCATAACCATTCTTTTTTCCAGCAATTTTATTAACTATAGTACTTCCAGCAGCTGCAGCTGTTCCAGTCAATAATCCTGTTGCTATAGCCGGAACAACTTTTGATGCAATTACACTTCCAATTAATCCTAGTAGAGGTAGAAATCCACCTTTTTTTTTAGCATTATGTTTAAGTTGTGCTTTACTCAGTGAAAGTGTTATACCCTTATTTTTTAAATAGGCTGCTTTCATTCTGTTTCTTTGTGACTCTGTTAAAGCTATTTTGTGTTCACCATTTAAATCTTCGTATGATTTATACTAGCATTAGTATCAGATTCAATTGCTTTTTTTATTTTTTCTTTCTGACTATCTGAAAGATTGATAAGAGTATCATAGTATTTTGTCATTTTTATATATAAAATAATTTTTTTAATTCATTTTAAGTTATTGCTTTCTGTAATGCTTTATAGTCATCATCATCTATTTGACCCTGTCGTAACAACTCATCACAAATAGCAACAATCTCATTTCTTGTTCCAGTATTTCCTGCTTGTAAACCAGCTAAGCGTAATTTAAGCATCTCAAATAGTGCATTTAGATCACTAGGAAGAATGACAACTCCTTTTCCAGACTTTCCAATCATCTCTTCCCAAATAGGTTTTATTACATTAGTGTACTTATAACTTCTAGATGATTTTGGTTTAGCTAAATTTAAATTAGAGCGAATTGCATCTGTTTGATCTAAAATTTCTTTATACTTATTACGATCATCGTTAGTATATCTAACAGGATGAGATTTTACTATAATCTCCCAAAGACCTGGTGTGCCAATGTATTTTTTACCTTCAATAGTTATATCATCACCTTCAATAGTTATTGGTTTTTTACCAATGTAAAATTTTTTATCACCTTCATTGTAATGTATACCAAATATGTCATCTGATACTTTTTTACTATTTTTAGTAGTATATAACTTTAAATATTCTGTTGCGATAGGTCCTAACGACAATTTATCTACAACTTCAGGTGGCATGATTGCTTTAGTTTCAGAATCTAGTAAAGCAGGATAGCTTGAAAAAGTATTAGCTATTTGATTAGCTTTATTTTCTAATTTAGATATACCTTCTTTTATTCCAGATTGGCTATCTATTATTGGTTTGTACAATTTTTCCAAGTTAGTCTGTAAAGCATCATAACCTAACTTTTCATTAATAGAATCTTGATATACACTTTTCTTTAGCCCCTCAAGTTCTTTTGTTTTTTTTAATCTTGTATCAATATCTGTAGCTTTTGCATACATTTTTATATATGCAATAATTTTTTTTAAATCACAATGTGATTCTCAGATCCCTAAAGGGATTAAATCAACATATATTATGTTAGTAATACATAATATTTGTTCAATTAATACAAAATATATGTTCAATTAATACAAAATATATGTTTTTTTATTTAATTCTTAAGAGTATTATTCATCACTCCTATATTCTGGTTTTTGTTAAATCTCATATTTAACACTTCAATGACATCACTTTTGCCTTTTTCTATTCCTTTATTAAATATTGACTCTTTAGTCTGCTCATCTATATCATTTTTAGATTTTGTTCTAATTTGCTCAGTCATAGTTTGAAACTTTTCAAGTTCTGAAAGTATCATATTAAATTCTACATCATCAATATATTGATCTGATATAGCTTTAGAAATAAGACTACTTATTGTATTTAGTTTTGCATCAGCTAGTACTTTAATCTTTTCATGCTTTTCTGCTTTTATCGTTAATTTTTTAATAGCTTGTGATCCTATTAATGATAATACACCCATACCTAATGCTGCAATTTCACAACCAATAGCTACTGGTGTTCCAACTATTGTTGTTAAAAAACCAATACCAACAGCTCCAAGTGCCATTGTGCTAGCTAGTAATGTATTATCAACTGCTGAAACTATTCTTAAAGATTTGTGATATTTTTTACTTAAGATCTCTCTTCTATTTCTTTCACATTCTATCATATTTTGAATTTCATTTATTTTAACTAATCTAAAATTCTGATCAGATAGTGGTGGTGCAGATGGATTTTCTGAAAACTGGTTAAGATCTGGATAAAGCTGTTTACATTCATTATTACATTGCATTTATTTTTTCTATAAAGAAAAATTTGTTTTAAATCACTTTTTACCAAAATCAAATAGAGCATTGTCAGATTTATCTATACTAGGTTTTTCTTCATCACATATAGTTTCTTTAATTATTCCCCCTATACTTGATAATAAAGATTTTACAGATTCTTTATCACTTTGTGATCTAGCTTCTAATTTTTTATCAGGTTCTAGAGCAGCTCTATGTGATATATGATTTGTATTAAAAACACCATTATAAGATGAAATACAGCATAACAAATCTCCTTTTTTAATGTTTATATCTTTTTTATCGTTATTATATAAAGTTATTTTAATATCATCAGTAGACTCTATTACAACAGAATTTAGTAAATTTAGTGTTGGTTTATAATTTTCTGCAAGTGAAATCATTACATGTCCTTTATCTATTTTAACTCCACACATTAAAGAAATACTATTATATGAATTTGATTTTACTGTAAAATTTTCTTGTGCAAATACTTTAATATGTCTATCATTTATTGCTCTATGTTCTAAATCTGAATTAATATTAAAAGTTATTGTATATTTTTCATGCTTTTCATAATCTAAAAACATTCTTCTCTTATACATTTTTTAAATGTAAAGATTTTTTTAGATCACTATAAATATAATACTTTTAAAGTATGATATTTTTTCATTTTTTTAAAGTTCTAACAATATAATTTAAAATACTTTCACCTTGATGTAAAAAATAACATGTTTTATCACTGTTATTTTTATATATTGTTTCTATTTCTCCTTTTTTATTTTTATTTAATTTACTCTCTACTAATTTACATGGAGTATAATGACAAATTTCTACATTTTCTTCAATTTCTTTTTTAGAATGAGCATATTTGCAATTTATATTTTTACATTCTTTTTTATCAAGAATATATTTGCATAATTTAGTTTTAGCTTTTCTTAATTTAGATAATTCTGACTTTTTAGGATGAAATAATACACACTCTTTATTCCTACATTTAGGATAATCATAGCAAATATGAATATGCCTATATTGACATGAAGATTTAGTGCATATTAGTCTTTCCTTTACAGTATTACAATAAGGAATATCATGATTGTATTTACATTTCTTCCAAAAGGGCAGAAATTATCAATTAAAATATTTTTACAGAAAATGGGTAGTTTCTCTACAAAATGAATTGTTGAAGGTTTTCCATCTTCAGTAAAATTAATATCAACATTAAATGGTTTTTCAGAACTAAATTTTCTATTTTTGTTATGTTTTTTAAAAGAAGTATTATCTATAGCAGGATAATCATCATTAATAACATTATAAGTTGGAACATAATTAATCCATTTCAGCTTATCTTTATGCAGTTCCATGATTTGAACTGTTTTTAAAGGAATTGGAACTATAAGTTTTTCTTTAACTTCATCTTCATCATCAGATGTAAAATAAGTAGCTTCATCAGATGTATAATAAGTGTCATCTTCAGAATCTGATTCTTCAAATTCAAATTTTAATATTTCTTCAAAAAGTTTAAATTCTTTTTGAAATTCAGATATTTCATTAATCTCATCATCATTCATTTTTATTTTTATTATTTGTAATAATATTTTAAATCAAAAAATTAAAAAATGAGTTAAATAATTTTCTTATGTGTATAAAAAGAATGGAAAATAAGCTTGAAGAATTATTAAAATTAATAGATGAAAGATTAAGATTAATAGAAGAAAAATTAAATATTATTGATACTCATGATATTGAAATGACTGAAGATTCTGAAGTTACTACAGTTACTACTACTGAAGTTACTGAAATTACAGAAACTACTGAATATAGTGATGATAATGATATTGAAATGACTGAAGACAATGATGATGAAGAAGTTACTACAGTAGTAGTAACTACTGAAATTACAGAAACTACTGAATATGATAATGAAGATGATGAAGATGAGGTTGTTGTATTTGATTATGAGACTACACAGAATTAACAATCTTTTATTATTTTATTTTTTTTACAAAAATAAAAAAATTGAAAATGAGTTAAATAATTTTCTTGTGTATATAAAAAGAATGGAATTAGAAAATAATTTTGAGAATAATAAATTTTTAATAAAACCTTCAACTCTAGTATGTTATATTACTCGATTATTAAAAAAGTATAAATATGAAAATTGGTATAATAAAGTTGACTTTGCTGCAAGTATAGGGAAAATTGATCTAATTAAATTATTAATTAAATTGGGAGAAAAAGGTACAGAATGGGCAATTAATTATGCTGCTAAAAATGGACATCTTGAAGTACTTAAATATTTACATTCAATAGGATATAAAGGTACAGAATGGGCAATTAATTATGCTGCTAAAAATGGACATCTTGAAGTACTTAAATATTTACATTCAATAGGATATAAAGGTACAGAATGGGCAATTAATTATGCTGCTAAAAATGGACATCTTGAAGTACTTAAATATTTACATTCAATAGGATATAAAGGTACAGAATGGGCAATTAATTATGCTGCTAAAAATGGACATCTTGAAGTACTTAAATATTTACATTCAATAGGATATAAAGGTACAGAATGGGCAATTAATTATGCTGCTAAAAATGGACATCTTGAAGTACTTAAATATTTACATTCAATAGGATATAAAGGTACAGAATGGGCAATTAATTATGCTGCTAAAAATGGACATCTTGAAGTACTTAAATATTTACATTCAATAGGATATAAAGGTACAGAATGTCTAATTAATATTGCTTTTGAAAATGCTGCTGAAAATGGACATCTTGAAGTACTTAAATATTTACATTCAATAGGATATAAAGGTGCAAATTTTGCAATTGATCATGCTGCAGAAAATGGATATCTTGAAGACATCTTTTATAAAAAATGGACATCTTGAAGTACTTGAATATTTACATTAAAAAATTAGGTGCATGCGCATTAAAACAAGAAAAATGAGTTAAATAATTTTCTTGTGTATATAAAAAAGAATGGAAAACGAAATGCAATAAGAAATTAATCCAGCATATTTAAACTTAAAAAAAAGAATAGAAGTAATGAGTAAAGATTTAAAATTAAAATCTGAACTAGAATCAGAATTAGAATACATAAAGATAATAATAAAAAATATATACAATTATGTTGATAAAAAAGAATTATTAGAATTAATAAAACCAGAATTATTAATATTAGATAGTGAAATGATATCAACAAGAGATATGTTGTTAAAAATATGTGATGATGAAAATGTAGAAATATTAAAGTTAAAAGCAGATTATTTAATAGAAATAATAAAGTATTTAATAGATATAATAAATTATTTCTAAATCCCAGCGCATGCGCACAAGATCAATCTGTGATAGAAAGAAACAGCAAGAAAAGTCATATGACGTCACAGCAAGAAATGAAATTGACTCTGATTTTTAAAAATTGATTTTTTCAAATTTATATAAATTTGAAAAATTATTTCTTAGTTGTAATAATTATTCACATCATGGTTAGAAATGAACCCTATATTTTTTAAAATATATGGTTGAAAATATGGTTGAAAATGAAAATGAGGGAGAAATGATAATAAAAATGAGCTAGAATCGGCATTTTCCTAACTACTAATGAACTGCATTTTTCAAGTTTATCTTTGATCAAAACTAACATTTTTTCGAACTGAACAACTTTTTTTTTTAAATCAAGAACATATTCATTATCAAAAACTTCAACTTCTGTCAATGGAATTTTTAAAGAACTTGATAACTTTTCTTTGAAAACTTTTGCAATAGTTATAATTTTTTTTTCCCAATACTCATACGATTTGCAAATGGCTTTCCGTGAAGCTTGACTGGTGACACACCAATTATACTGAGACAATCAGAAAGTTCTGGTCTGTTTTTATTTATATCAGCTTCTTGTTTAACACTAAATATGTTTTCTTTATTTATACTTTCATTTGTGTAATCATCAGCAATATTAATGTTATCAGTATTAATTTCAGTGGAAGCTTTTAATCTGACTAAGCAGTTTGTGCAAATTTTTTGACCAGGTACAATATTGATCCTGTTGTTTAAAGCTATGGTTCTTAACGTGACTTCTCTGAGAGATGCTAAATTAAAAAATATAACTTAATAAAGTAAAATGTGCCTACTATTAACAAAAATAAAGAACTTAAAATTATGACAAATTTACTATTATAAAATTTATGACAAGCTTTACTAACCTTTGCACGGTCTTTTGTGAACTAACAGTGGATCACAGCATTTATTCTGAAACACAGGGAACTTCTCAAGATAGAACTTTTGATGATGAAAACATAAGTCAATAATCAAAATAGAAGAAACACCAGACCTTAGCGCAACTAAATTTTGCTCATCTGGAGCTAAATCTTGAAAAAAGTTTATTCCAATGTGGTTTGTAAATGTCAACTTGTGACAATTTGATTTTAAAATCAATCCAACTGAGCATTGTGATGCTCCATCCATTATAAAAATATTTAATTTTAACATTTTATTTTTCTAAAACTATTATTAAATAAATAATAAATTCTCGCATGAGTATTATAATCAAAATTCAAATGTTAGAATCAATTGCTCCATTTAATTTATACAAGAAGAAATCAGAAATTCATTTTTATTTTAAACTAAATAAGTGTAATCATATGATTAGACTTATTTAGTTTAAAATAAAAATGAATTTCTGGGTTTCTTGTTTAATTAATTAAACGGAGCAACTGGTTCTAACATTTAAGTATAACACTTATGCGAGAAATCATTATTTTTTTTGTGAGAAATTATTTTAGTTATAATGGAGATTATAACCAAAACGTTAAATAAAAATGCAAAAATAAAATTGCAAAAATAAAACAATAGTAAAATAGATATGTGCATCAAAAAACAATGAAATAATTTTTGCATCTTACAGGTATTTATATATAAACTATTTTTGTAAAGATTTAAAGTGAATAGATCAATTTTCTGAAATTAATCTTAAACTAGACATGTTTACTAAAAGATTATTGTTAAAAACCCGGTTTGCATTGCAAAGTTTTTAATCAAATATAAGATCTAATAACTTTAAGTAATGATTTTTGATTTCTTTATTCAAAAGTTTCAATACCTATTAAATTTTGTAAACGAATGGTTAATGTAACTGTGTATACTTTAACATTTTAGTGTTGCTATAGACGTTGCTAAGAGAGCGGAGAATAAAAAAATTTTAAAATTCTTAAACTTCAAAGACCCATAACTCTTAAAAAAATGAAATTGACTCCAAATTATTTATGATTATTACTAACAACATTATTAACTGCATTTGTGCCAAAAATCAAGTATTTCTGAGATGGTGGATTATTTCGACTTAATGTTTTGACATGGAATTACCCTTACACCAAGTTATAAAACTTTGCTGCGTTTACGCTCACGCTGAAAAAATCTCCGAACCACTGCTAAAAGATAATTTACCTCCAAATGTAACATGAACTTGCATTTAAAGCTACACGTCCATTCACATCTAAACATTCATTGTTATTGTTACGCAATTTTTTTATATACATTTTTATTGACATAGTAAGTACTATGTCAATAAAAAAGTATATAAAAAAACAATTATAAATAAAATGAAACGCGTATACAATCATTAAAAAAAAATTCCGTTTAAACGAAATATATACGACAAATCAAGATAATGGTAGTTAAATGAAATTTCTCACATTTTAACTTTGTATTGTATAAAACTTAAACATAATTGTCTATATCGAAACTGGGTATAATTTTAAAGTATATATGTATACCTTCATTTTATACTTCTTCATGTATACTTTTTTTAGTTTTCTTTACGCTTACGATAGGGGCTCAAAGACAAAATGTCTGTTTTCTATTAGCCTTGTCGTCCTTTTGTTTTAAATATTTATTGTCGATGAAACATGTAAATTAAGGACATTGTAAAATGTTTAAAAATGACGAGACAAGTAATAGTAATAAATAATAATAAAATAGTAATAACAATAATAACTGTGCCATATAACCGTGACTGTACAGCGGCACCCTGGTGGAGATTTTAATTTCTTTTTTCGTGAAACACTCGCTTTAAAACTCCCGTTTATCAAATTTTTTAAAAGTAGTTTTATCTTTGTGAAGAATCACAAAAACTTTGTCATAATTTAATTTTTTTGTGTCTCTAAAGTGGTTTGATTTCGTTCATAGAGCAATACGTTTGTGTATTGTAAAAAATGTTAATAATAAATGATGATGATCTTTATTTTTATCTTTTCTTTTTAATGAATTTGTTAAAAACGGCTATGAGAGAAAAAATCTAGAAATACTAACCAAATCTACAAATAAAACTGTCAAAAAAGTTTTCACGAGAGAGCAATGTTTCTTAACGTCTCCGAAAAGTTTTGTATTTTTAGCCTGGATCCCTGGATCCAGTTTTACAGGGTTATTCATTCTTATATGCCCATCTAATCATTTTTTTATGCGCCTTTATTCATTCTTATATGCGCATTTATTCATTTTTAAATGCGTCTTTATTCATTCTTATATGCGCATTTATTCATTCTTGTATGTGCATTTATTCATTTTTATATGCGCCTTTATTCATTCTAATATGGGTTTTACAAAAGCAATTGTAAAAAAGCAATTTGAACAAAAAAAAATCATTTTACTTATTTATAATTATCATTAATATCAAATTATACATCCCTATGGATGGAATAGAAAATAGCATTACCAAACGTAAAACAAGGAAAAATGTTACAAAAGAGCACTTTCAACAAAATGCTTAAGCATTTAGTTGAAAGAAATCAATCTACAACAAGAATTTCCACTTCTCTTAGTTTATCGAAGCGCGCAGTTCAAAATTTTGTCGTTAAGTTAAACAGAGGATAATTCGACGACATGACTGCATTCAAGTCGTTTTCTGATAAAAAACGAGATAAAAGACCTATAAACTCTCAAGTAAAAAATATTAAAGAGTTATGCGTAAACAATCTTTGCACGCAAGAAGCAATAAAAAAATATCATTCTGCAGCAGGCTTCAACATGTCTCAGTCTACTATTTCAAGAAAACTCAAACGCTCAGATTTATCAAGAAAACGTGTTGTGCATGTGCCAAAGAACGAAACTCAACACCAGTTATTAATGCATGCTATGCATTTGCAAGAGAAATAAACGGAACTTCAGGTGAAAAACTTATTTATTTGAATAAAACTGGATTTAATGTGCTCACTAACAGCACATATGGTTGTTTGCTAAGAGGTACGCCAGCAATTTTACAGTCACCTGCAAATCGTGGTAAGAATGTTAGTTTAATTTGTGCTGTTTCAACAATGGGAGTGTTTGCTTATGAAATAAAAACTGGAGGCTAGAATGCAGATTCATTTTGTACTTTCATAACTACAATGATGGCACCAGCGATTATTATTGCAAAAGTTGACGCGCCGGTGCTTGTTATGGGCAATTGTAAATTCCACTGGTCTCTTTCTATTAGGCAAACACTAGCCTCTCATGGTATAGCTATTAAGTATTATATTACATGGTATAGCTATTAAGTATTACAGCTATTAAGTATTGATATTAATAATAATTATAAACAATTAAATTTAAATCTAGATAAATAAATAATTAGATCAATAATAACTTAATCAATCAAGCAATTTAATAATAAAATTACAAAGAACTAATACTAAATTAAATAAACTATCATCGAAAACAAAGAACTAATACTAAATTAAATAAACCATCGTCGAATGTAAAAAGTCTTCGTTTTAAGTATTTTTAACCTCGTTTACCTAGAAATAAGAAAAATTTATTTTGAAAAATTAAGCTGTTTTTTCAAAACAAATTGCTTAAATGATTTTTTTTTTGTTCAAATTGCGTTTTTACAATTGCTTTTGTAAAACGCATTTAAGAATGAATAAAGGCGCATATAAAAATGAATAAATGAGCATAAGAGAATGAATAAATGCGCATATAAGAATGAATATAGGCGCATATAAAAATGAATAAATGCGCATATAAGAATGAATAAACGCGCATATAAAAATGAATAGACGCGCATATAAGAATGAATAACCCTGTAAGTTAAGAATAGTTTTTGAAAAAGCAAGATAGTCACAAGTGTTTAAGTCTGCAACACCTAATTAGCACCAAAAATAAGCGTGAACTACCAGTTAATTTATATCACAAAGTTTATAATTTAGTGAGCTCTTGCAGCAAATGTTATTTTATTGAAACATTAAACAAATGTTCAACAAAGTAGAGATATTTTTGCTGTAGATAAGCATTTAAAAACTTGTCAATGAAATTTCTGCTGGAACAATCAAAATACTTTAAAGGAAGGCATGATTAGTCAAAACAGCAAATTTAAATAGCCGCATTGCAGTAATAAGAGTTCTGGCTTAAGAACTGGATGCATCATAAGTATAAAAGGAGGTATTAATATACAGGTTAAATGTAAAATATTGTAAAATTAAAAATAAATGTAAAATTGTGTTAGAAATACTTGGAGCACCTAAATAACTAATTTAAAAAAAAGTTTGTGAAGCGTTAGAAAGACAACTCTTTTAACTGGAAACATGGCGAATGTGTGACGATTTCATTTTGGAAACCAATTTTCCGTCTATTACGTTGCAAAAAACATTCTTGGGTATTGTGGTTCATCCTTTTCGGCTAATTGCCAAGCGATGGCCATATACAAAGAATCGCAGAAGTCAAGTTCAGCTCACTAAACAAGATCATTACCCACTTCAATGGACCAACAGTAATTATGTTTTGATTAGAATTAATTAAATTAATAAATGTAAAAGGAAGATGTATTCTCGTGAATGGTTTACGGCAAGTTTGAAATGAAACGCATTTAGTATAATCGTAGCGTGTATATTTGATTACGAGCAGTTTTATTGGCAATTAGATAAAATAAACACATTTTTTATTTTACTTATTTGCCATTAAAACTAAAAAAGAATAAAAATTTACTCTTTTTTTTCTTATCTACTTGCGAATAAAATTGCTGCCTCTATACATAGCAAACTCTCCATGCTTGGTCCACGCATGGCCCATCATCAGTGGTATGACCGGTCCACCATCGGCAGACAAGCATGTGCCAAGCCAAGTGATGCTCACCGTTTAATGCCCGGTCTATGCTTTGCATTAGTTTGTTGGCCGGCGTTTAGCTGTTGTTTTGTCATTTTTATGTTGCTTTTAGTTCATTTTGTTTATTTTTTACGTTGTTTTTAACAATGGTTAATACTTAAACAAAACCGAGAATTTAAATTAAAAGACTTTATAAAAAGCCGGAAGAACAAAATGAAATAAGTTTACTAACTTAAGAAAAAGGAACACAAATGATAAAAATAGAATGTACTAATACTATTTTAAACTATAATATCTCCGTCAGTTTAGCAAGCAATTTAATTAATAAATAACTTGCATTTCAATAAAAATTCATTAGAGTACACTTATCATAAATAACATATATTGTTCAT